AGATACCAGTTGCGTTGCTCCTGGCATTATGGGTTCGAGTCACTTCTGGGGTGTGAGTTTTCAGTCGCATATAGTCCTGGGGACCATTCAGGCTTGTTCGCATTTGTGTTCTTCACGAGTGCCCTAAAGAATGAGGTGATTTGATAAAATGCTATGCCCAAGATTACCATCCGATTGCCGGCGAGACGGTGGTTCAAATTGCTTCAGCTATCACTTCCTTTTGTCCGGTCGTGATGGTCAAGCGGATTAAGGCATCCTGTAGATACCAGTTGGGTTGCTCCTGGCAGTATGGGTTCGAGTCACTTCTGGGGTGTGAGTTTTCAGTCGCATATAGTCCTGGGGACCACTCAGGCTTGTTCGCATTTGTGTTCCTCACGTGTGGCCCAAAGAATGAGGTGATTTGATAAAATGCTATGCCCAAGATTACCATCCGAGTGCCGGTGAGGAAGTGGTTCAAATAGCTTCGGCTATCATTTCCTTTTGTCCGGTCGTGATGGTCAAGCGCATTAAGGCGTCCTGTAGATACCAGTTGCATTGCTCCTGGCAGTATGAGTTCGAGTCACTTCTGGGGTGTGAGTTTTCAGTCATATATATATATATATATATATATATATATATATATATATATATATATATATATATATATATATATATATATATATATATATATAATAATAATAATAATAATAATAATAATAATAATAATAATATTAAAAATAAATATTTGATGCCGAATAAACTACATGTGGAAAATACTTCTACTGAAAAGTGGAAAATATTGCTAGCAATTTGTGTGATAAGGAGTACTCACCTAGTTGTAATCTCCTACTTGTGCTTGTGGGGGTTGAGCTTTGGTTCTTTGGTCCCGCCTCTCAACCGTCAATCAACTGGTGTACAGATTCCTGAGCCTACTGGGCTCTATCATATCTACATTTGAAACTGTGTATGGAGTCAGCCTCCACCACATCACTTCCTAATGCATTCCATTTACTAACTACTCTGACACTGAAAAAGTTCTTTCTAGCGTCCCTGTGGCTCATGTGGGTACTCAGTTTCCGCCTGTGTCCCCTTGTTCGCGTACCACCCGAGATAAATAGGTTGTTTTTGTCCACCCTGTCAATTCCCTCCTGAGAATTTTGTACGTAGTTGTCATGTCTCCTCTAGCTCGTCTGTCTACCAGGGTCGTGAGGTTTAAACCTCTTAGCACTATTTAGAGGTTATACCTCATCCCCCTATTCCTCGTAGTTCTTACCTCTCAGTTCGAGTACTAGTCTGGTGGCAAACCTTTAAACCTTTTCTAGCTTAATATTATATTTGACTAGATATGGACTCCATGCTGGAGCTGCATACTCCAGGATTGGTCTAACATATGTGGTATACAAAGTTCTGAATTATTCTTTACCCAAATTTCTAAGGGCCGTTCTTATGTTGGCCAACCTGGCACATGCCGCTGATGTTATCCTGTTGATATGAGCTTCAGGGAACAGGTCTGGCGAGATATCAACCCCCAGGTCTTTCTCTCTCTGACTCTTGAAGTATTTCCTCTCCCAAATTGTACCTTTTGTCCGGCTATGTGTTCCTTAAACACAGACAGACAGACAAACACACTGACAGTCAAACACACAGACAAACACACAGACAAACATCACAGACTAAACAAACACACTGACAGACAAAGACAGACATCACCCACTAAACTTACACACAGACAGACAAAGACAGACATCACCCACTAAACTTACACACAGACAGACAAAGACAACATCACCCACTAAACTTACACACAGACAGACAAAGACAAACACACAGACTGTCAAACACACAGACAAACACTAGTCAAACACAGACAGACAAAGACAACATCACCCACTAAACTTACACACAGACAGTCAAACACAACATCACCCACTAAACTTACACACAGACAAACAAAGACAGACATCACCCACTAAACTTACAGACAGACAGACACACAGTCACAACATCACCCACTAAACTTACACACAGACAGACAAAGACAACATCACCCACTAAACTTACACACAGACAGACAAAGACAACATCACCCACTAAACTTACACACAGACAGACAAAGACAACATCACCCACTAAACTTACAGTTGACAGACAGACAAAGACAACATCACCCACTAAACTTACACACAGACAGACAAAGACAACATCACCCACTAAACTTACACACAGACAGACAAAGACAACATCACCCACTAAACTTACACACAGACAGACAAACAGACAGTCAAATCACCCAGTAAACACACAGACAGTAAACACAGACAGACAGACACACAGTCACAACATCACCCACAAACACACAGACAAACAAAGACAACACACCCACTAAACTTACACACAGACAGACACACAGACAACAACACACAAACTTACACACAAACAGACAAACACACATCACCCACTAAACTTACACACAGACAGACAAAGACAACATCACCCACTAAACTTACACACAGACAGACAAAGACAACATCACCCACTAAAACACACAGACAGACAAAGACAACATCACCCACTAAAACACACAGACAGACAAAGACAACATCACCCACTAAACACACAGACAGACAAAGACAACATCACCCACTAAACTTACACACAGACAGACAAAGACAACATCACCCACTAAACTTACACACAGACAGACAAAGACAACATCACCCACTAAAACACACAGACAGACAACAGACAACATCACCCACTAAACTTACACACAGACAGACAAAGACAACATCACCCACTAAACTTACACACAGACAGACAAAGACAACATCAGTCAAACACAGACAGTCAAACACAGACAAACTTACACACAGACAGACACACAGACAAACACACAGACAAGACAAACACACAGACAGACAAAGACACAAGACAACAACACCCACTAAACACACACACAGACAGACAAAGACAACATCACCCACTAAACTTACACACAGACAGACAACAGACAGACATCACCCACTAAACTTACACACAGACAGACAAAGACAGACATCACCCAGACAAACTTACACACAGACAGACAAAGACACAGACCCACTAAACTTACACACAGACAGACACACAGACAACATCACACAGACAAACTTACACACAGACAGACAAAGACAACATCACCCACTAAACTTACACACAGACAGACAAAGACACAGATCACCCACTAAACTTACACACAGACAAACACAACATCACCCACAAACTTACACACAGACAGACACACAACATCACAACTTACACACAGACAGACAAAGACAACATCACCCACTAAACAAACACACAGACAGACAAAGACAACATCACCCACTAAACACACAGACAGACAAACACACAGACAGTCAAACACACAGACAAACACACAGACAGACAAAGACAACATCACCCACTAAACTTACACACAGACAAAAAGACAACATCACCCACTAAACACACAGACAGACAGACAAAGACAACATCACCCACTAAACTTACACACAGACACAACACACAGTCAAACACAAAGACACATCACCCACTAAACTTACACACAGACAGACAACAGACAACAAACCCACTAAACTTACAAACACACAGACAGACAACATCACCCACTAAACTTACACACAGACAGACAAAGACAACATCACCCACTAAACTTACACAGACAGACAAAGACAACATCACCCACTAAACTTACACACAGACAGACAAAGACAACATCACCCACTAAACTTACACACAGACAGACAACAGACAACATCACCCACTAAACTTACACACAGACAGACAACAGACAACATCACACACTAAACACACAGACAGACAAACACAGACAAACACACACTAAACACACAGACAGACACAAAGACAACACACAGACAGTCAAACACACAGACAGTCAAACTCACAGACAAACACACAGTAAACACACAGACAGACACACAGACAAACACACAGACAGTCAAACTCACAGACAAACACACAGTCAAACACACAGACAGACACACAGACAAACACACAGACAGTCAAACACACAGACAGACAAAGACAACATCACCCACTAAACTTACAGTCACAGACAGACAAACACAACATCACCCACACAAACTTACACACACAGACAGTCAAACACACAGACAAACACACAGACAGTCAAACACACAGACAAACACACAGACAGACAAACACACAGTCAAACACACAGACAGACACACAGACAAACACACAGACAGTCAAACACACAGACAAACACACAATCAAACACACAGACAAACACACAGACAGTCAAACACACAGTTAAACACACAGACAAACACACAGACAAACACACAGACAGTCAAACACACAGACAAACACACACAGTCAAACACACAGACAGTCAAACACACAGACAAACACACAGTCAAACACACAGACAGTCAAACACACAGACAGTCAAACACACAGACAGACAAACACACAGACAGTCAAACACACAGACAGACAAACACACAGACAGTCAAACACACAGTCAAACACACAGTCAAACACACAGACATCACACACTAAACAAACACACAGTCAAACAAAGACAACACACCCACTAAACTTACACACAGACAGACAACACACAGACAGTCAAACACACAAACTTACACACAGACAGACAAAGACAACATCACCCACTCAAACACACAGACAGTCAAACACACAGACAGTCAAACACACAGACAGTCAAACACATCACCCACTAAACTTACACACAGACAGACAAACACAACATCACCCACTAAACTTACAGACAGTCAAACACAAAGACAACATCACACACTAAACTTACAAACACACAGACAAAGACAACATCACCCACTAAACTTACACACAGACAGACAAAGACACATCACCCACTAAACACACAGACAGTCAAACAGACAGAAGACAACATCACCCACTAAACTTACACACAGACAGACAAACACCCAGACTGTCAAACACACAGACAGTCAAACACACAGACAGACAAACACACAGTAGCAGCAGTAGCCGTAGTATTCACAGTAGAAGCAGTAGTCGTAGTATTCACAGTAGCAGCAGTAGCCGCAGTATTCACAGTAGAAGCAGTAGTCGTAGTATTCACAGTAGAAGCAGTAGCCGTAGTATTCACAGTAGCAGCAGTAGCCGTAGTATTCAAAGTAGTAGCAGTAGTCGTAGTATTCACAGTAGAAGCAGTAGTCGTAGTATTCACAGTAGAAGCAGTAGCCGTAGTATTCACAGTAGCAGCAGTAGCCGTGGTATTCACAGTAGTAGCAGTAGCCGTAGTATTCACAGTAGCAGCAGTAGCCGTAGTATTCACAGTAGCAGCAGTAGCCGTAGTATTCACAGTAGCAGCAGTAGCCGTAGTATTCACAGTAGTAGCAGTAGCCGTAGTATTCACAGTAGCAGCAGTAGCCGTAGTATTCACAGTAGAAGCAGTAGCCGTAGTATTCACAGTAGAAGCAGTAGCCGTAGTATTCACAGTAGCAGCAGTAGCCGTAGTATTCAAAGAAGTAGCAGTAGTCGTAGTATTCACAGTAGAAGCAGTAGTCGTAGTATTCACAGTAGAAGCAGTAGCCGTAGTATTCACAGTAGCAGCAGTAGCCGTGGTATTCACAGTAGTAGCAGTAGCCGTAGTATTCACAGTAGCAGCAGTAGCCGTAGTATTCACAGTAGCAGCAGTAGCCGTAGTATTCACAGTAGCAGCAGTAGCCGTAGTATTCACAGTAGCAGCAGTAGCCGTAGTATTCACAGTAGTAGCTGTAGCCGTAGTATTCACAGTAGCAGCAGTAGCCGTAGTATTCACAGTAGCAGCAGTAGCCGTAGTATTCACAGTAGTAGCAGTAGCCGTAGTATTCACAGTAGCAGCAGTAGCCGTAGTATTCACAGTAGAAGCAGTAGCCGTAGTATTCACAGTAGAAGCAGTAGCCGTAGTATTCACAGTAGCAGCAGTAGCCGTAGTATTCAAAGTAGTAGCAGTAGTCGTAGTATTCACAGTAGAAGCAGTAGTCGTAGTATTCACAGTAGAAGCAGTAGCCGTAGTATTCACAGTAGCAGCAGTAGCCGTGGTATTCACAGTAGTAGCAGTAGCCGTAGTATTCACAGTAGCAGCAGTAGCCGTAGTATTCACAGTAGCAGCAGTAGCCGTAGTATCCACAGTAGCAGCAGTAGCCGTAGTATTCACAGTAGTAGCTGTAGCCATAGTATTCACAGTAGCAGCAGTAGCCGTAGTATTCACAGTAGCAGCAGTAGCCGTAGTATTCACAGTAGTAGCAGTAGCCGTAGTATTCACAGTAGCAGCAGTAGCCGTAGTATTCACAGTAGCAGCAGTAGCCGTAGTATTCACAGTAGCAGCAGTAGCCGTAGTATTCACAGTAGTAGCTGTAGCCGTAGTATTCACAGTAGCAGCAGTAGCCGTAGTATTCACAGTAGCAGCAGTAGCCGTAGTATTCACAGTAGCAGCAGTAGCCGTAGTATTCACAGTAGCAGCAGTAGCCGTAGTATTCACAGTAGTAGCAGTAGCCGTAGTATTCACAGTAGCAGCAGTAGCCGTAGTATTCACAGTAGTAGCAGTAGCCGTAGTATTCACAGTAGCAGCTGTAGCCGTAGTATTCACAGTAGTAGCAGTAGCCGTAGTATTCACAGTAGCAGCAGCAATAGTAGCCACAGTCGTCAGTGCGTGCTCACCGTTCACCATCACAGTATACATAAAAAACCTTTCCTCAATACTGCAACACAAATTCCGTTCAAAAATAGTCCATTGCATCCTTCATTCACCAGTTGCACAAAAATATCCTCATCTGCATATCAATGTGCAATATATTTGGTCGAGGAACACACACGTGCAACATTCAATTACAACATATTGCAACGCAAATATTCGTGTCCTTTGGCCGTTGCCACCAGAGCCTTGTTTAACATTATTGCAAATTATTGCGAATTGATTCTGCTTGTTCGATGAGATGTGTTGCGTGTAAAACTCGCTTTAATTAAGTGCACTCCGCTTAATGGAAAACGGAAATGTATCGTCAGATGTTGGCTGTATGAATGTTTACATATATATATAATATATATATATATATACATACATATATTTATATATATATATATATATATATATATATATATATATATATATATATATATATATATATATATATATATATATATATATATATATATATATATATATTATTAAATATGACCGAAAAAGTAAGATTAATAATTCTAACACGAATTTTCTCAATCTTTCGTACATTACGCTTCACTGTTGGAGGTAAATAAAAAATCACTTCTCCAAAATTCATTTTTATTTCTAGTCTGACGCGACACGGGCGCGTTTCGTAAAACTTATTACATTTTCAAAGACTTCACAAATACACAACTGATTAGAACTTACGTCTCTCTGATATTATATCTACATTTGAGTGAGGTGGGAAGGGTGATGTGGCATTAACACAAGACAGAACAGGAGGGGATATTAATAGGGTATTAAAAGTATCAACACAAGACAGAGCAGAAACAATGGGTATTGAATAGAAGTGTTTGTAGAAGGCCTATTGGTCCATATTTCTTGATGCTTCTATATTGGAGCGGAGTCTTGAGGTGGGTAGAATATAGTTGTGCAATAATTGGCTGTTGATTGCTGGTGTTGACTTCTTGATGTGTAGTGCCTCGCAAACGTCAAGCCGCCTGCGAGGCACTACACATCAAGAAGTCAACACCAGCAATCAACAGCCAATTATTGCACAACTATATTCTACCCACCTCAAGACTCCGCTCCAATATAGAAGCATCAAGAAATATGGACCAATAGGCCTTCTACAAACACTTCTATTCAATACCCATTGTTTCTGTTCTGTCTTGTGTTGATACTTTTAATACCCTATTAATATCCCCTCCTGTTCTGTCTTGTGTTAATGCCACATCACCCTTCCCACCTCACTCAAATGTAGATATAATATCAGAGAGACGTAAGTTCTAATCAGTTGTGTATTTGTGAAGTCTTTGAAAATGTAATAAGTTTTACGAAACGCGCCCGTGTCGCGTCAGACTAGAAATAAAAATGAATTTTGGAGAAGTGATTTTTGATTTACCTCCAACAGTGAAGCGTAATGTACGAAAGATTGAGAAAATTCGTGTTAGAATTATTAATCTTACTTTTTCGGTCATATTTAATAATATATGTCTACAGGAAAGACTGCTACCAAAATATACTAATATATATATATATGTCGTACCTAGTAGCCAGAACGCACTTCTCAGCCTACTATGCAAGGCCCGATTTGCCTAATAAGCCAAGTTTTCATGAATTAATGGTTTTTCGACTACCTAACCTACCTAACCTAACCTAACCTAACTTTTTCGGCTACCTAACCTAACCTAACCTATAGAGATAGGTTAGGTTAGGTTAGGTAGGGTTGGTTAGGTTCGGTCATATACCTACGCTAATTTTAACTCCAATAACAAAAAATTGACCTTATACATAATGAAATGGATAGCTTTATTATTTCATAAGAAAAAAATTAGAGAAAATATATTAATTCATGAAAACTTGGCTTATTAGGCAAATTGGGCCTTGCATAGTAGGCTGAGAAGTGCGTTCTGGCTACTAGGTACGACATATATATATATATATATATATATATATATATATATATATATATATATATATATATATATATATATATATATATATATATATATATATACATATAGATGGAAAGCTGCCCTTTCTAGATGTAACAGCCATGAAAAGGAGCAGAGGTTTCCACATTGCAGTCTACACAAAGGAAACAAACATATGAATGTGCCTCAATGCCAACAGTGACTGCCCAGACAGGTACAAGAGGAGTGTTGTCAATGCTTACATCGACCGTGCTCTCAGCTACAGCTCAGGATGGAAGCAAGTCGATGAAGAACTCTGTAGGGTAAGGCAGGTCCTAGTCAACAACGGCTTCTCCAATGCTTTCGTTGAAGACCTCATAAAAAGATAAAAAGGAAAGTGAAACTCCATGCAACCTCTGAAGAGTCAACTAACACAACACCTGTACCCCCTATTAGACTATTTTACAGGAACTTCTTTTCCACAGCTCATAAAACGGAGGAAAGGGTCCTGAAAAATATTGTTGATAGGACCGTTATCCCTACAGACAAAAATCAGAAGACAAAATTGACGATTTACTATAAAACCAAAAAAACGGCCAACCTACTCATGAGAAACTCTCCAGACACAAAACAACGCTTTAAAAGAGACTAACGTCGTCTATGCCTTCAAATGCCCACTTGGGGACTGTAAGCCCCAAAGAACTCAGTATATAGGCAAGACAACAACATCTCTTTCTAGGCGATTAACAATGCATAAGCAACAGGGCTCCATTAAGGAACATATAATATCTTCGAACAAGCAGACCATCACCAGAGAAGTCTTAACAAACAACTCAGAAATCATCGATACAGCGATAGCAGGCGGCTTGACATCTGTGAGGCACTACATATTAAAAAGTCATCACCAGCAATCAACAGCCAATTAATGCACAACTATATTCTACCCACTTCATGACTCCGTACCAATATTGAAGCATCAAGAGGAAGTATGGGCCAAAAAGGGGAGCCGGTCGGCCGAGCGGACAGCACGCTGGACTTGTGATCCTGTGGTCCTGGGTTCGATCCCAGGCGCAGGCGAGAAACAATGGGCAATGTTTCTTTCACCCTATGCCCCTGTTACCTAGCAGTAAAATAGGTACCTGGGTGTTAGTCAGCTGTCACGGGCTGCTTCCTGGGGGTGGAGGCCTGGTCGAGGACCGGGCCGCGGGGACACTAAAAAGCTCCGAAATCATCTCAAGATAACCTCAAGACAGGCCCTTTGCAGTTACTTCCATTCTTCCCTCTCATTTATCCAATTTATACCCAATGCACCGTGTTCTGTCTTGTGTTGGTCAAAAGTTTGTTCACCTCATCCAAAACTGTTGCAACATATCACCTCACCCAAATGCGAGTATATAAGACAAGCTGTTCCATGTTAGCATTAAGTAAAACTCTATTTAGTGTTTTCAGGTTACAGCTCTGTGTGTGTAAACTAAAGTCTTTGAAAATCTAATAAGTTATTACGAAACGCGTTCAAGCGTCACGTCAGACTAGAAATAAAAATGAATTTTGGAGAATTGATTTTCCAATTACCATCGACAGTAAAAAGAAACATAAGAAATATTGAGAAAATTCGTTTTAGAATTATTAATCTTACTTTTTCAGTCATATTTAACAACATATATATATATATATATTAGTATATTTTGGTAGCAGTCTTTCCTGTAGACATATATTATTAAATATGACCGAAAAAGTAAGATTAATAATTCTAACACGAATTTTCTCAATCTTTCGTACATTACGCTTCACTGTTGGAGGTAAATCAAAAATCAATTCTCCAAAATTCATTTTTATTTCTAGTCTGTCGCCACACGGGCGCGTTTCGTAAAACTTTTTACATTTTCAAAGACTTTAGTTCACAAATACACAACTGAATAGAACTTACGTATCTCCGATTTTATATCTACATTTGAGTGAGGTGGAAGGGGTGATGTGGCATTAACACAAGACAGAACAAAATGTGGTATTAATAGGGTATTAATTTCATCAACACAAGACAGAACAAGAGTATTAATAGGGTATTAATTTCATCAACACAAGACAGAACACGAAGCAATGGATATTGAATAGAAGTGTTTGTAGAAAGCCTATTGGTCCATATTTCTTGATGATTCTATATTGGAGCGGAGTCTTGAGGTGGGTAGAATATAGTTGTGCAATAATTGGCTGTTGATTGCTGGTGTTGACTTCTTGATGTGTAGTGCCTCGCAAACGTCAAGCCGCCTGCTATCGCTGTATCTATCGATGATTTCTGTGGTGTTTACTAGGATTTCTCTGGCGATGGTTTGGTTGTGGGAAGAGATTATATGTTCCTTAATGGAGCCCTGTTGCTTATGCATCGTTAAACGCCTAGAAAGAGATGTTGTTGTCTTGCCTATATACTGGGTTTTTTGGAGCTTACAGTCCCCAAGTGGGCATTTGAAGGCATAGACGACGTTAGTCTCTTTTAAAGCGTTGTTTTGTGTCTGGAGAGTTTCTCATGAGTAGGCTGGCCGTTTTTCTGGTTTTATAGTAAATCGTCAGTTGTATCCTCTGATTTTTGTCTGTAGGGATAACGTTTCTATTAACAATATCTTTCAGGACCCTTTCCTCCGTTTTATGAGCTGTGGAAAAGAAGTTCCTGTAAAATAGTCTAATAGGGGGTATAGGTGTTGTGTTAGTTGTCTCTTCAGAGGTTGCATGGCTTTTCACTTTCCTTCTTATGATGTCTTCGACGAAACCATTGGAGAAGCCGTTATTGACTAGGACCTGCCTTACCCTACAGAGTTCTTCGTCGACTTGCTTCCATTCTGAGCTGTGGCTGAGAGCACGGTCGACATATGCGTTAACAACACTCCTCTTGTACCTGTCTGGGCAGTCGCTGTTGGCATTTAGGCACATTCCTATGTTCGTTTCCTTAGTGTAGACTGCAGTGTGGAAACCTCCGCTCTTTTCCATGACTGTTACAT